AAACACGTTTGTGCATAATTATATATGTAACTTGTCAATGTGACTTTAAATTTACTGATTTTTTTTCCGGAATTGTTGTATTGTTCAGCAAGCTTTAAGGTATAATTTTATTAATATATTTATATACCAATGAAAACCATATACATAGTTTTAGGAAACTTTTTCCACGGTCTCTTATTATTCTTATATAAATATGCAGTTTTGATGCAATTTTTACTTTAATTAATAAAATTAAGAATTTCAGATATACTACGCTTTTTTCATTTTGAAACAACATAGTCTAAAAGTTTCAGTGCCGTTGCAGCAACCGTGATCGCGGGGAGACGAAATGAAAACTTTCGTCTTAAAATTTTACTTTTATTAAAATGAATATTCGTGAAAATCTTGGATATCCTTTTATCCAATCTTATTTCACAAAATCTTGGTGACAATTCTTGATAATTTATAGTTTTAGGAACATTATGCAAAAAATACTGTAAAAGAATACATCGCTATGCAACTATAACGTTGACTATTAGATTTTACTATCAAAAAACGGCTCAAACTGTTTTTTAATAAGGTTTTTTAGCAAAACTTTAGGAGGTATCTAATGGTATATAAATCAATATGTATATTGCTAATGGGATCATACTGATGAATTAAAGTTCAAGTATCATTTTCTATATCAAAATGAAACAATATATTAACAAAGTACCCTGAAATAGATTTTAATTTTAACCATTCTTTTGTCCATCTAATATCATTTTGAATATTAATAAAACTTTGAATTTTATAGTAACGGAATAACAAGTGTTTGTTTCAGAACATCTTTAATAAATACTTTATTAAATAATTCTCTATAGTTATAATACCGTTCTTTTGCTTGACTAGGGAGATTATTTTAATCCACTAAATATAACTTCCTTTCAGCAGTAAAATAAAATAAATTATGGTAGTAAGTACGGAGAAAATATAGTTCGAAATTTATTAATATAATGTTTTAGGAGCACATGTTTATATTATTATTTTTTATATTTCTTTATATTTTAACTGCTTTAAAATTTAATTATACCAAATAATTTAATGAGAATAAGTAATTATCTATAATTTTTGTACTGTTTATTTGTTATTTAAGGTCCATACATAATTTTTTTCTTGATAAATTTCATACTCTTTGGTTTATAATAGTGGTTTACAAAATCCTTTAAAAATAATGTTTCCTAAAACAGTTGTTTGGTAAATTCTAGTCATTTTCAATTCACCATTAATCCTGCACGTTACACTATGGGCATGTTAACTCGATAATCATATGTTTGCTGGGTCCTTCTCATTATCATTATCAAACATGTGCTATGTTCAATTTAAAATTCAAATATTAAATATGCTATGCAATATACATTGATACGTGCAGAATTCGAAGCTACAACCTGCGGAATATCGCGTTCTAGTGCCTTAATGATTTAAGCTATCTGCCCTTATTGAATAAGAATATAAGCATTCGATATACTAACCGATTCACTAGGGTGGAGGGACTCAATTTATTTTTAAATCTTGTTGAACGTTTTTCAACTTCATAGCATCAAAAACATATTTTACTTGAGGTCCAATAAATCCTTATAAAGTAAAATAATTAATTTGTGGCCACTTATAGTTTTATTTCAGCAAAGTCATCCAACAAAATTTAGTCGTTAATATTGCAATTTTTTGCTGATCAATTAATTATGACTGGCATTAAATAAATATTAATATTTTTGTTTGTCTCTCCACAATGTTTTATTCTTTTCAGTTAGTGTATTATCAAATAGAAGTTACATTTTTTACAAGTTCTTCCGAAACCTCTGAAGTAAGAAACCATATTATATTTATGTATTTCATTACATATTTATTAATCACCAGGAATCAAAGATATATTTTTTCTTGTTAATGATACCAATCATTTATGACAAAATATCGTATCATCGTTTGATAATAATTTTAGTTTTTTTCTCAGGAATTATTTTCTCAGCATAAAAAGTAAATTTGTCTTTTAAAGGAAACTAAGTTTTTCGGATCCTACTCGTTTTTATACTATTTTATATCTATATGATACCGACATTTCAGTTCCTTTGTGCAACCGTCATCACAGACAGACGAAATGATAAATACTGATACTTACTTTTCTTTTTAAAAAATATATGTAACTTGTTACTTACGTAATAACCTAAGTGGAACAAATATAACCCTGATAGTATAGTATATAGTTTTTAATAAAAAAATGATTCTCATAGTTGACTTGCTACTGTAAAGTGTTTTAAAAGATTACAAAATATTACACTGCATTCATCGAATGAAGTTCAGTGTGCCCAACGAGAAAACTGTACTCTATAAATAGTTACATACATTTAAATTCAGATTAAAAAAATATTATCTTACCGTTTCATCACAACATTAGAAATTAGATATATATATGTATATTTTATTTTGTATATGTATGTATATATTATTTGTATTTATGTAAAGTAAAAAAGTAATAATTATTCTTTGTCACTAAAATTAAAATTGTACCTACCTTCCTGTTATTTAACTTAATATTCCTCACACTCCAGGGTGGCTGGAAGAGATCTCTCATAGAGATAAGCTTCCCTTTGTATCACTTTGTTTCTTTCTTATTCTTTTTTCTGTGTTACTTGTTGTTGGTACATAAATAAATAAATAGTTATGAAGTCAGGAAAGAGTACAGATAGTGATTCTCAACATTGTTAGCAGGTTTAGTGGTCATTTTATTTTACCATCCCTTTGGATATCGAGTAAAAGGATTTAGGATTTCATTTGTTTTTGATTTAGTTGTTTGGAATTATTGATTTGTTGTATGATTAAATATATTCACAACTAAAAAATCGAATATAAAAAAAGTATTACAAAAATCTGTTTTAACGAATATTGAACAAGAATATCTATTATTTTATTTTCGAGTTGAAAATGCGTTTTAAAATTTCTTGTAGCTGAAATTCAAGTTACCTATGTATACTTGTATTATTAATACCGTCAGTCGACAAGTTCTCTGCAGGATATGAATGTAGTGTCTGCCTTTATCGCTGAGGTAGTTATTTTGCTACTTATACAATTTGGTTCTCTCATTTTGCATATACAACTGTTTCCTCTTGTTATCGTTGGTAACTGTAGTCGATATTGTTTATAGAATGACGAAAAAGTAAATATTTATTATATAACCAATTTCATATAAAGAAAATAGAGACTAAAATAGTTTTTCTATAAGTGAACCAAAAAAAAATAAAGGATTAGGAACTATTTAATTAAAAGAGTTTTTTTTAAATAGATATTAATATATTTTAACTAGTTTTTCAAAACATGCCAAAACAATTGCCTCTTGTCTTTGTACAATAAATAAAATAAGTTTAAGCATTACAAATAGCAAAGTTTGTGAAACAAATGGCCGTGAGTTAGACGTAGTAATGTGCTGTTTATGTGTTTTTTTCTACTTAAAAAGATATTTGTTATTTCTAAGAATTCAGACAGGCATTAACCTTTTGTAAATCGTTCGAAATCTCTGATACATTATCTACTTTTTGAAAGCATTTGATCTCTCAAATAGAAATTCAGTAGTCTCTTTTTATTATACCCAAGGACGTCTGATAGAGGTTGCTAGTGAAATAAGACCCTTTAATGCCTTGCATAGTCTTTTATTTCTTTTGTTACTCCTTATACCTTTTAAGTAAATTTTCTAAAATTTTAAAGTTGTGACATAATCCACTTCATGTTGATATAAGTATGAATTTTGTTATAAGCTCATAATATAACGAATTAGTGATATAGTTTAAACCTTGGTGATATAAATGAATACAATAAAATCATGATTTTTTTATATAGTTTTTTCTTAAACTGGCTTTTTAACTAGCAGTAGGTTTTGTGGACCTATTTGGCGTAAGTTTCGCTTAAATGAAACTAATATTTTCGGATTTTACTTCGCGTTTTATTTTAGAAACTACATACTCCCGACGTATCTTAGATCTCATTTTGTAAGTTTCGCTGTTTTAATGTAAGTCCATTGAAAGGTTATATTCGGGTAGCCTTTTTAAGACCCCATTTTTTATTTTATGTGCAGGGAAGAGTAAGGCTGACTTAAGTTTCCACGTGGACAGCGCCATCAGGTTTGGAAGAGGAGGTCGAGTAGAAAGGAGAATCAAGCACAGTGTATGAAACGGAGGCTCAAATTAAGTTTTCGAGTCATCGAGCCACACTTCAGAAAAACATTTGCTTCAAGACTGAAACAGCGGCCGGGTGACGTGGCAATAAGATGCACACCTTCATATCAAGTAAGATTTTACCTTGTAACTATTTTATCATGTACTTAGAAAACAATTATTAATTTAATTAATATAATATTTTGCAATAAAAAAAAGTTTTATAACGTAAAAACCTATGTAAATAGTCGTAATATGAGACAGTTTTTCACTTATGCTATATCGAGTGACAAAGACCCGAACCCGATAATATTTGACAAGACTCTAATCTAATTTGAGGATCCTTTGTAGGGTTTGAGCCAGGTCCCTTAGAGAGGTTCTATAAATAATTTTCAGTAACAGGATTCTGTCAAAGCTACAATACAATATAACTAAATTTAACAAGATTTGAAGTGAAACTGCCATTTTGATACAGTTATCGTGTCCGTGAAATTATCAAATAATAGAGTAATTCAGTTATAAAAAGTTAAATAGTTTCATAAATTGTCGTAATGAATTTGTTATTTCATGTTCTCTTTAAGTTAAATCACTGATATAATAAAGTTGACACCTTAACATGTTAAAAAGAATAATAAGTTTAAGTTACAAGATAGGAAAATATTTCGAATTCGTACACCTGATGTTTTGTGAATTACTTTTGTAGTAAAAGAAATGATAAGAGTATGTTGAAGAAATAGAATCTGATTAGAATCTAAGCAATATGTGTATTGTTAAATATAAAGGGTTTAATCGGAATACCAAATATAAAAAAAATGAAAACTACGTAAAGCATATATAAACTTAACTATAAAGCCCCCTGTACACAATGGCCCATGCGTGCCCACTACAGGCCATCGCCATTGTGTACAGGGGGTAATGGTATATGATGGCGGACAGTTGTCCATCGTGGCGCGCAATCGGAGAGTTGTCGGTTTTTTGGGCACACTTCAAAGGAATAGTGGCGTAACGTGGCCTGTGGTGTTTACACAATCGGCCATTGTTTAGTTCGTCACCGGCCGCTGACCGGGATAGTTGTGTTGCAACAAGGTCGCTTAACAGATTGTCCATGAATTGCCTGAAAACGGTAAAAACAATCTTAAGTAGTCATGTTGTTTACCTTAACATTCTAAATATTAATATTATATCCTAAGTACCACATTAAAAAATCTACGTACCTTGTCCTGTTTCGATGAATGGTCAACATCCACCATCGCCTTTTTCGCCATTTCCTTTTAACAACTTTGTGACAGTACACACTTCTGTAATACTTGTAAATAGTATACAAATAAATAGCCGCAGCCGTAATTACTTCGACGTCCATCGCAAGTGGTTTGCCAGGCAGCAATGAGCCATACGCCATTGTGTGTACACCAAGTGATCGTGGCCTACAATTGTGCATTGCAAAGCGTGGCCCATCACAGGCCATTGTGTACTGGGGGCTTTAGACAATGTAAATTTGCCATAGAAGAATATACATATATATGTATATAGTATACACTCAAATTTTTGTTTGCTCCCATTTAATTATGTTATAATTTCCTACTTATTTGAAATGATACATTCTTTTAGATAAGCTATAAGAAATAACTCTATATAAAACGACATATAAAAAGAACTCTGTATTAATCTACACATAACTCATACAGTCAGTGTCAATGAGATTTTTCAATCCAGAACTGATCTAATTAAAATAATATTTTATCCATTATGCATGAACGTTCATGTCAGTAATAAAACATTTTTGTTTCTAGGTGACACGTTTAGGATAACCATTGCAATAACGTGCGGGACGGACTCCATCCACAAGCCAAACAAGGTAAGCTAACTAGAAAATAAGTATTCGTATTTAAAGCGATATTTTGTTTGCACGTTAATTTGACTTGTTATATTAACAGTCCTGGATTAAACTAAGCATAGATACATTTTCTGTGCCTTCTAATGAATACAAAACGAAATAAAATTTGTTACATTAAATTTCATTTTGTCACAAAATAAATAAATTGAGATAAAAGTATCATTACTTAAATATTTACTAGATGAAAATAATGAGGATGCGAAGTGAAATTTTAAATATAAAGTTTATACTTGATACCAATTCTAATAATTTAAGCGATATTTTTATTATGAAAAAACGAATGTTTTATATATTATATATGTACTTATTTAAAATATGGATTAATGTATTAGCGTCATCCGATTACACCGTGAATACCTAGACCACATAATTTTGTTATTATTATATTAAACAAAATATTTATATTATAATTAACAAATACTATGTGGTTATGAAACCGCTTTATTAAAAATAATCACAATGTATAAAATTGTTAAATTAATTAGTTTGTTTGCTAATTTTATAAGGGGAGTTAAACATAATATTTTGTAGCTAATAATATGAAATTATATACAAGCATTTACAAATATGATATTTTAGTCTTTTTCAAATTCATTTTCATAATATATTTGTATACATAGAACATTTTTGAAATCTTAATGTATATTTATGTTTATAAAGTGCTTTCTTTTAAACGAAATACTCCATAACTTCTACGTAATATAGCAAAACTGTAATAACATGTAACATTCACAGCTTTAAACAGCTAATTACAACGATAAGAGAGTAATTGCCTCGGTACAACTTAGCGGCTATGCCGGGAGTGTTCAATAATTTTCTTTTGTCATGTCAAAGCTGTTAGCCCTGCGGCTTTGACATTGTCACCGGAAAAGTTGACGTTATGCTCGGAAATGTATATATTCTTGAATCGTACCTCCAAACCATAGTCACGCTATTATAAAGGTCACATAAACCATGCCATAAGCCTGTTTAGGGTCTCTCTTCTAACAGTATATATTATTTATGAAGACAGAAGAAGAAGTTCAAATTAGTTCTCCTCATCTATTAAAGAAACTTTCTAAACGCGTGTTTAAGTTCTCGAATGACTTCAAATTGCATATACTAGTTGAGCGTATAGTATTTTCTTCAATTTCATATTCCTAACGACGCGACGGTTCTTTTGTTTTTGCATAGTAAAAATATTCTAATCGAATTAAATAGCTTCATAGTTAGCTTATTACGTGGTCTGTCGTACTTGTTAATATTGGGGGTAAAATTTATAACAACGTATCTATTAATAACACAAACTGATATTTTACTGATACATTACTCAACATATTTATATTGATATTTGCATAATTATATGAAACACATACTTAAGGTGTAGTTTTAAACATTCATAATCTACGTGCAGTGGCGACAAATATCATAACCACTCTTTCAATTTAAATCAGATATTATGATTTTCTTTAATACAATTCTTGATTAAAAAAAAATTATCAAGAATTCTATTATTTATAAAGTCTAAACAATATATACAAGATACCGAAGAGAAAAATCATTCCATAACTGATATTTGGCAGTGGAAAATATAGAAAAGGGAATTAATGTTTTATGTAGTAAACAGTTACTACATAAAACATCTTCCTTCCCATTAATTTCTCTGTAGAAAGTAACGTAATATCGCAGTGAAAATTAATGTGAATCTGAAAATCTTGTATTTAATTTTACTAAACAATTTTAATAATAAAACTTTGTATTTAACTTTAATCTCTAAACCACTCCGTCTCGTTATCCAAGCCTCAATGAGCATTTTGCAATATAGTTTTAAGTCAGAAGCAGTCTACATTTTTTTTTACTTTCAAATCCTTTTCATTTTAAATTACAAGTTATAACAAAGTTGTAAAATATTACAAGTCGCCAGCTATTATGTTTTAATCATCGCAATTGCTTTTTTCTAAAAAAATTCAATATATTATATATATTTTATAAGAATGGAATTCTGTTTAGATATAGTAAATATTTTGTTGTAGATGGATAAGATACAGGTATATAATAGACACGATAATGACAGTGAAAAGTATAGAACATATGACATACATAACTCAAAAAATATTCATTTTGTATGACATTTTATCTCCAGGTAACATGATGAGTACTAAATCTTAAAATAGTTATTTTATTTTATGTCATTAAAAATCAACTCGAAAAATTCAATTGTCAATTGTTTACAGGTAAAAAATTACAAAAGAATATAATGCTTCCAAAGAAATTTATACTCCTGCTCAGAATTTCATACAAATCCACCAAACACATTTTGTATTATAACGTTCAGTGATTCTTAACATTTTGTTCAAAAAATACGATTTTGAAAATTTTAACTAACACGGCAAATAAAAATTACTAAACACTCATAATATTTATTCTTTTTTATAAGGTACTTCACAGAGAAGATTTATCGTTTTACTATTTAATTGACGATGTGTTTAAACATCTAAGACATAAACAAAGAAAAACGGTATATAAGAAAATACCTTAAGATCTAACTCGTTATACCTTTGAATGTTCGGTGTCGTTTCATGTCAGAGCTTTCAGTAGTCCTAAACGTTTTTACTCAACTATCGCTATCACTTATCAATAGACTAATGTTAATAATGCAAAAAAGTGAAGTTATTGAATAATAGTGCGTTACGAGGAAGAATTTTAGTAAATCTAGCACAAAAAGTAACTTACAACATGCGCTTTGTATCAAAATTAAAGAGGTAGAGAAACCATCAACCAGAAAGAAAAATCAGGAATACAATAATTACAGTACATTTTGAGTATCATCATTTTATTTAATATAATATATTAGTATGCATAACTTAACATTCATTTTCCAGTAAACTCAAGTGCCTTCATAAAAGTATGCGTCATGTTATTCTTTTTATAGTACTTGAAAACTCTTGTTTTAATATATGAAAATGATGTTTAATTTTGTAGTTTATAGTGAGTATGTTAAAACTTATAACCTCGATAAATTGTGTAAAATGTTTCATTACAATATTTTAAAACTTTTTAATCTAATATTAATTATGGTCGAACCAACTATTTCATAAATATCACTGCATTATTTGACCTATACATAAGTTAAATCTTAATTTTATAAATTTTTTTTTGTTTCCTTTATAACCATCGTCTTCCATAGCTAAATACAGTAGAAATTATAAATGATGACATCATAGTTATTTCATTAAGTAATGCAGACGTAGAACAAAATCGACAAGCTGTCTTGGGTGTGAAATACTTCTGGCCAATTATTCTGATAACATCACAGTTCAAACACGATAGTAGAAAATGACGTTAATGATCTATTCAGAGCTTGAAGTGATAATTTCCTCCAATCATTATGTTATAAGATTACAGTGGAACTCTTAAATTATAAACTTAATGAAAGACTTCTTACTGAAAAACTTTAATAAATTAGTGATTATATGATTCTTTTTGCTTCTGGATTGAAAATAGCTTAATAGTCGACAGAAAATAGTTGCATTTAAAGACAGTAAATAATATTTAAAGATCAAGTCCAAATAGGGTTTGTAAAAGCCGGGTACAGAGGTTCATGTAATACGAGTATAACTAATTTTATAATCAAATTACAAATAGATCTTTTTGTACAAATCATTAGTGAAATTAATCAATATATCAATAGTACATATATGTAACTGGTGAAACTATCGTTGTGTGTTATATAATCCTACAAACATAAATATAGTTTGTTATTTGGAAGTCAGATATACGAGTATGTTTTTTTTTAAATCGAAGGCTATTTTTATTATTGTACAAAGATATTTAATGAAGCTTTATAGTATTAGTTTGACGATTGTCTAGTCTTTGAATGTGACTTAAGGGAAGAAATGTAAATTTTTATATAAGATTTTTTACATGTTATATAGGTTTAAAAAAATTTGGGTGTTTCAGTGATTTCACATAACAATGTCTAAGATTTATGCGAGTCCACTTATAAATGAAACTATGATTTTCTGATATACTGGGACATTAATTACAATTTTTTAAATTTTAAAAAACGTTTTTCTTAATTGACAGCAATTGTAATAACAATTTAGTAAAATGAAAGTGTTTGTCAGTTAGACCGGTTATTTAACCGCTACCCCCGATTATAGCTTGATTTGCTTGCCTATTGAGTGCAGCAGGCAATAGTAAAATCAATCAATGTTGTCACAGGCAGGTGATTTTATGTTTTTGGTGACTGAACCTTAGATATTAGACAATTGCGAGCTATATGCTTTACAGAAATTAATATTATTTTATTACACTACATGTCTTTCTTCACGGGCGAGGATCATAGAAAACAGTGTTTAAACAAAAGATAATTATCAGAACCCATCATTGAGAGAGGTTTCAGTGAAAAGAGGTTTTTTTGCGAAAGTATGAGGGGTCTAGTTTAAAAATCACAAAAACAATCGGGTCAAACGATCAATAGCGTTATGTGTAGTGGATAGCTCATAAGAATATATGAGGTTTTATTGTTGGAATATTCCGGTTTAGTTTACCAAAAACGGGTTCTTCTAAAACAAGGCTA